TGTGCTTCTTCAGTCGCTTCTTTGATTTGTCTTTACTTCCAGCCATGGGAGAAGGAATGCGATTGAGAATGATGAAACTAGGGTTTTGGTCGAAAAGGAGAGAAGAGAGAGTAAAGGAAATGAAATATGAAGAAGTGAGAATGATTAAAAAGATGGAGAATCGTGAGAGATTAAAAGAAATTATGACATGAATAACTGCAAGAAGCAATTTCCGAGTTTCAAGGTGAGGAGAGAGAAAGAGACGTTGGCAAGTTGGGCGGTTTAGAGCAAAACTGGTCCCTCCAAATATGAAATTCAAACACAATAAAACTCCCCACAAAGATAACTTCTCACAATATTTCGAAACTTAGGAAAGAAATCTGATTTTATTCACAAATATATATTCTCCACAAAATTTTAGACTCAAATAGCTCAAGTTCAATAAGGAAACCATATGCAATTATGCCTAAGGATGAAAAATAAAATAAAGAAAAATAAAATCGCACACAAGATACACTAGATTCATAAAATCTTTTCCTTCTCAACTTAAACAAAATTGATGAAAACAGTCAGAGACCAACTTTGAGATTCAAACTTCCCGAGGAACACACGATAAGCGGATATATGTATATACACAGAGTAGTGCAAACCACAACTTCAATTTTGTAAGAGCACATGCCATATTATTCATAGTGCGTTTCACTTAGTAATAATAACTACAATAGTGAAAGTCAACCCCATTACTTTGCACCACGATTTTAAGCAAGGATCCTACACTTTTTTTATTTAAATTAACAGCACTACGGCTTTTATGCGGGTGACTAGACATGGCCAAAAACCGGGCCGAAGGGTTGGGTTTGGCGGACCCTGAACTGGCACGACTTAGGTCCGTGCCGAGTCCATGACCTGGCGGGCTTGGCCCGGCCCGGATCTGGGCCCGCCCTAATAAAAAAAGAAAAAAAAGAAAAAAATTCAAAAACCATACATTTTTCCCGTGTCGGCACTGACCCGGCCCGGACCCGGCCTGGCCCTCCGGGTCAGGGTCGAAAATATCGCAACCCGGGATTGGCCCGGATGAAATCCGAGCTGGGTCCAGACCTGTGGTCAACGGGTTTGATTGGGCTGGGTCCGGGCCGGGTCGGCGGGCCGGTTGACCCGTGGCCATGTCTACGGGTGACCACCTTATAACTCCACGTAAAAACATTACACAATAATGTGCAATGGGTGTCACTAGCTTACGCCCTTCTCAACATTTTCTGTCCAAGACGCTCTTTTCACAGTCGATCTCGCATTGGGAAACGAACCATGTGCTAGCTATCGCTCTTGATCATTTATGAGAAGGCAGCTCTTTTTGACAAAAACAAAAATACCAAAAATAAGTACGTTCCTCAGAATAGTAAGAACACGCAGCCAGTCTAAGACAATCAACATCGCTCAAGTTTTCAGAAGAGTCAGAACATCAATTAAGAATCTTGTGGTGAAGAGAATGCAAAATACACGACATGCCTAATGCAAAATACTCTATATGCTTACAAGCAATGCGATAGATAAATACTAATAATATACAATACAATACAATATAATGCAATATCACACAAGCATTCAGAATGAGCATATCCCTAAGGATTTCCTTAGAGAAATGAACCTTTGAGAATCTAGTGCTTTAGTGAATATGTCAGCCAACTGGTTTTGCGTAGACACATACCCAAGGATAATCACATCATTCTCGACGAAATCTCTAATAAAGTGATACCGAATATCTATGTGTTTAGTCCTAGAGTGTTGAGCCGGATTTGTAGAGATATTAATTGCACTGGTATTATCACAAAAAAGGTTCACGGTTCTTACCTCAAGGCCAAACTCAAGCATCATTTGCTTCATCTACACGAGCTGGGAGCAATAACTTCCAGCAGATATGTATTCGGCCTCAGCTGTAGAAAGTGCAACGCAGTTCTGCTTTTTACTAAGCCACGAAATGAGGTTATTACCAATGTAGAAACAACCACCAGAGGTACTACGCCGATCATCGACGTTCCCAGCCCAATCAGCATCACTATAACCTGCAAGACTAGAAGACGTGTCACGCGAGTACAGAATACCTAAGTCAGATGTGCCGTGCACATACTTGATGATGTGCTTCACCGCCTTCAAATGTGATTCCTTAGGATTAGCTTGGTACCGCGCACACATACCTACACTAAAACACAGATCAGGTCTAGTGGCAGTAAAGTAAAGTAGGCTTCCTATCATGCTTTTATAAAGCGTGGAATCAACTGAAGTTCCAGCTTCATCCTTAGAGAGCTTAGAATGGCTCCCCATAGGTGTTGCTGAACACTTAGAATTTTCTAAACCAAAATTTTTCACAAGATTTTTAGCATATTTGGTTTGATGGAGAAAGATCCCTTCCTTGGATTGCTTTACTTGCAGACCCAAGAAATAAGACATCTCTCCAACCATGCTCATCTCAAATTCTCTAGACATGTGACTGACAAACTCATTAACCCACGTTCTCGAGGTAGAACCAAAAATAATATCATCTACATAGATCTGCACGATGATAATATCTTTGTTAGATTTTCGCACAAATAGAGTTTTATCAACTTCTCCTCGAGAGTATCCCATTTTGACCAGAAATTGGGTCAGGCGTTCGTACCAAGCACGCGGAGCTTGCTTGAGCCCGTACAAAGCCTTTTTTAACCTATAAACATGGTCTGGGTGATGAGGGTCCACAAACCCTTCAGGTTTCTTAAAATAAGCAACCTCTTTCAAAAAACCATTCAAAAATGCGGACTTTACGTCCATTTGATAAATCACTGTTGATATCATTTTCAGTAAACCAAGTTAAGTGACATTGATCAGCCGATTAAGGCCAGTATGAAGATAATTAGAATTTGTACAAGTACGTGACACTTCCACCGACTTCAAGACGACTGCATGACGAGAGATTCAACAAGAACCAACATCTCCATTACTTAACCGATATCTCATGTCGGTCATCACATGTCGGTCACCACATGTCGGATACAACATATCGGTTATAACTGGATGAACCGATATCTATAATATGCCATCTCAGCACTGTAAGGCGGCGACAACTCAGCATAAATCATCATTACGTTTGTCCAAGTGGCGAGCTATCAAGAGAAGTGGCTAGGAGCCGCCTTTGACCTTTCAAATGTAATGATTACTATGCGGATAAATGTTGTACGTAAATATAAAAGGAGAAAAAACAATTCTCCAGGGAGACACACGTACAATAATAATATTCACAGAGAAATTCCATCTGCTTTTCAATATTCACATTTCTGTTGATTTACCTTGAGTTTATTGCAAACCCCTATCAATAAGATTGTTGTTAATTTTCATTTGCCAACAGTTTGGCGCTAGAGGAAGGGGGGCTCTTTCATGTTTTTAAGTTAACTTTCGCCTTTAAGTCATTTTCACGCTCGAAATCATCATGTCGCAGTCTGGTCGAGACCACGTGACTCATCCTGGCCAGAGCCAATCGACTAACCA